GGGAAGTGGCATAAATTTACTATTATTCGTAGCGCGCATGTCCCAAAGTTGGATCTAAGCGCTAAATGAATGAATGAGAGTAGTAGTAGTAGTAGTAGTAGTAGTAGTAGTAGTAGTGGTAGTAGTAGTAGTGGTAGTAGTAGTAGCTAGTGCAGGAGGTACCTCGGTCCTAACACTGGCCTTCGTCATGTCAGGGCATGCTCTCGTAATTTCGGCCTCGGTACCCGTCTACCTTGGGACAAGCGATGGGTCATCGAGAGTCTATCGGACTCTACTATTTACATGGCTTATTACACTATCGCCCATCTGCTGCAGGGAGGTGAGTACTCAATGTCTGGTCGGCCAGGGTAGTCTGTTAGTAGGCGTCCTTGACGGCTCTGGTAACCATCCTCTTGGCATTGATGCTGAGCAGATGACTGATGCTGTTTTCGATTATATCTTTGATCTTGCTTCTGAGCCCCCAGCTGATTGTGCCATTTCCCGGGAGAGTCTCGATAAACTGAAGAGAGAGTTCAACTACTGGTAAGCAGACGGATCTCGTTTACACTAGGATGATGCTTGATATTATAGGTACCCTATGAGTCTGAGGTGCAGTGGTAAGGATCTGATCCCGAATCACTTGACTATGTGCCTGTACAGTCATGCAGCTATCTGGGAAGACCGGTAGGTGTTTCGAGCTGTGATCATGGTGCTCTTCACCGCTTTGGCAGACCGGACCTTTGGCCTCAAGCCTTCTTCACCAATGGTCATGTGATGGTGGATGATGAGAAGATGTCGAAGTCTCGCGGTAACTTCCTCACGCTGGACCAGGCTTGCGGGGAGTTCTCGGCCGACGCGACTCGTCTGGCTTTGGCTGATGCTGGTGCGTGCATAATGGGAGGTGCATTGATAGTCATTCATTTTATGGTAGGTGATGGTCTTGAGAATGCTAACTTCAAGAGGAAGACGGCTAATGACAGTATTTTGTCTCTTACTACCTTCGATAATTGGGCCACTGAGGTCATGACCAGCTCTGAGGAGCTCGCCAAGGAG